CGGGTGGCGGAGGCCACGACCGTTAGTTTAATTAAGGGGCTCAGTGACGAGGCTGGACAGAGCGCACGCGGATGCGGTGCGATGCGGCCCCTTGTGGTCAGATGAGGGAAATACAAACCCAACTCCCAGCCGCAGAGCAACACTCACAGGCTTTACCCGGTCAGACAGGCGCTGCAAAAGCCACCGTGGTGTTCACGGAAATGAGCAATGGGGACAGAAGGGCACAGGAAAGGGGCTCTTTGCCACTGTCCTCGAAACCAGCGCATCTCAAACGTGAATGTGAAGGTACCACCTGCGGGGGTCACTCCCCTTGGGTTTCGTTCCCGGCTGGCAGGGTAGGGCCCGGGGGTCTGGTTCCAACCGGCTCCCAGCCGCACCCACCCTGGGCGCCATCAGGGGCTGGAGGGAAGGTCCTCCCGGTGGGTGGGCCTGGGCTGCTGTGTCCAGTCCCCGTTCTGGGGACCACAGGCCCCCGGGGATACGGGTCCTTCCCACGCCCAGACTCAAAGGAGCCTGAAGACCCACTTCGCTCTTGCTTCTTCAAGCCCATGGGCCCACGGAGCCCGCCCTGAGGTTACCCCTCTGCCAGCTCCCACCTCCTCCCTGACCTATTGGGGACCTCCGGGCTCCCGAAGGCCGCTATTTCAGATGGCCCTGGGGCGGCGCGTGAATTTCCACGTAGGGCCCCTCGCCACTGAAACCCGCAGGTCGCCTCCGGCGGCGCTGGCTCCCAAACCTCTGGCCACGAGCACATCTGAAGGGGCGCGCGGTGCCGCGGCTGCCCCCACACCCACAGCACACGCTGTAAGTCCACACCTTGTTTCCCGCGGTGGAGTTGCATTTACACCCCCCGCCCTCATCCCAAGAATTCATTGCACTTGGCTGGGAAAAAATTTCTGATATAAAGTATTTTAAACCTGAGGTGGGAGGAGAAAGAATAGGTAAGATGTAGGGTGACCACAAGTGACCCTTGTAAATGAGTTCAGCGTGATAATTGTCCCTCGTCTTATTTACACATTTATCGTTGAATTCTAACCCCACGTCAGCACTGCCTTTCAGGGTAGTTTCTTTTTATTTTTGTATGTCAATTCAGTTGAAAAATGATTGCAAATGGACTTTCTTGGCTTGTTCACAGGCATGGAACTGCCCAGCTATTTAGGTTATTCAGGAAGGACTAAAGGTTTATATCACTATCTATTTATGTAAAATCTTAAGTCATTTGCTCTCAGGTACAGTCAGCCCTCTGTACCCACCAGTTCTGCATCCTCGGATTCGGCCAACCACCGACTGAAAATACTCAGAAAGGACTTCTGGTCAAGATGGCGGTGAGGCAGACACGGCTTGGCTCTTTGCACAACCACATCAAAATCACAACTGAAATATATAACTATCACTTCAAACCATCAGAAATCACGTTGAACGGGAGTCTGACAACTACGGAACCAGTACGTGTCAACACTGGTTGGAGGGGCACAGGTGTGGAACAGGCTGGTCCCTCACTCCCACGCGGTGGATGGAAATGTGGGAGGGCTGTCTCGGGGGCAAGGAGTCCCAGCCGCACACCGGGCCCCCCGCCCAGGGCCAGGAAGAGAAGTCCCCCCAACTTCCAGCTGCAAAAACAAGTGGGGATTGAGTCCACAGAAGGAAACTGCTGGAGCCCCAGGCAGTTCCTCTTAAAGGACGCACACGGTCTCACGGTCTCCCTCCCTCCCTCCGAGCACCAGCCCTGGGGCAGCAGAGGCGCTAGAGGCGCACAGGGAGGCGCGCAGAGGCCGTCGTCTCTTTTCTAAATCCTCCCCCCAACAGCGGGCCAGCTGGTGTCGTATCTGAGACTCCATCAACCTGGCTAATGCTGTTTGGCCGACTTGGAGATCCCCAGAGGCTCTGCCCACCCAAACTGCTTTTCCACAGGAATGGCTAGTCTAGGCTCAAGCTTCACAACTTCCTAACCCGTATCAACACGAGCAGCAGCCGGCCTCAGGGAGCCCCGGGCCTGGCAGCAGCAGCAGCAGCAGCCTAGAGTCACAGCTTGGCTTCTCCTGGAAAACCTCCAAGACCAGCACACGGAGCAGCCATCTCAGATGGCTTTATAGGTCAGGCAGGGTGGCCCCGGACGAAACACAGGTGGGGGCTGACCTCGGCCTGCACCACCCGGGAAACTCCAGAACCTGCGCACCCAGCGGGCAGCTACAGACCATGTAGGAGCACCACCACCCTGCCCCTGCACAGCTGGTCCTCCACAGAGGGCGGACGTTGGTCAGTGGTCACAGCCAGTCCTTGCAGCTGACTGGCCTGGGTAAATCCCTCCCATTGACCTGCCAACAGCAACCAAGGCTCAGCTACAAGAGGAGGGTGCACTCAGCGCACACGGAGGGGCACTTGAGTACTCAGCTTGGGTGATAGGGGAGGCTGTGCCACGGGACCCTCCAGGACACCGACTACATTAGGCCACATTACTAAGATACGGAGTCATAGCAGCTCTACCTCATACATAGAAACATGCACAGGGAGGCTGCCGAAATAAGACAAAGAAACAGGGCCCAAAACTCCAGAAAAAGAGCTAACTGAAATGGAGATAAGCAGTCTATCAAATGCAGAATTCAAAGCACTGGTTATAAGGACGCTCAAGGAAATTAGCGAGGATCTCTGCAGCATAAAAAAGATCCAGTCGGAAACAAAGGATACACTAATTGAAACAAAGACAAATTTACAGGGAAACAAAAGTAGAGTGGATGAAGTCGAGAATCAGATCGGTGATTTGGAACACAAGGAGGCACACAACCAATCAGAACAAGAAGAAAAAAGAATCCCCCCCCCCCCCGAAAAAAAGGGCTAGTATAAGCAGCCTCTGGGACAATTTCAAGAGGTCCAACATTCTCCTCATAGGGGTTCCAGAAGGAGAAAAGAGCAAGAAATTGGAAATTTACTTGAAAAAATGAAAACTTCCCTAATTTGGTGAAGGATATAGACATGCAAGCCCAGGAAGCTCAGAGAGTCCCAAACAAGATGGACCTGAAGGGGAACAGACCAAGACACAGCACAATGCAAAGGCCAAAGGTTAAAGGTAACAGAGAATCTTAAAAGCAGCAAGAGAAGAGCAGTTAGTTACCTAGTCAGACTGTCAGCTTACTTCTCAAAAGAAACTTTGCAGGCTAGAAGGGACTGGCAAGAAGTATTCAAAATCATGAAAAGCCAGGGCCTACAGCCAAGATCGCTCTACCCAGCAAAGCTACTGCTTAGAATTGAAGGGCAGATGAAGAGCTTCCCAGACAAGAAAAAACTAGAGGAGTTCATCATCACCAAACTATTATTATATGAAACGTTAAAGGGACTTATTTAATAAAAAGATAAAAACTATGAATAAAATGGCAAAAAAAATACATCTATCAACAACTGAATCTAAAAAAAACCCAAACTAAGCAAACGAGAACAGAGACAGAATCATGGATACATAGTGTTTCAACAGTTGCCAGACAGGGGAAAGGGTCGGGAGGGGAGGGGATTGAGAAGTACATATAGGTCGTTACAGAACAGCCGTGGGGACGTAAAGCACAGATGGGAAATGGAGCAGCCAAAGAACCTCTATGTATGACCCATGGGCACGAACCATGGTAGGGGGTTGCCTGAGGCAGTGGGCGGTGCTGGGGGGGGCGCAAAGGGTGAAAAATCAGGACAACTGTGACAGCATAATCAATAAAATATTTATTTAAAGTATTCGGGAAACAGCGTTGCTCTGTCGCTGACGCGACTGTGCGGTCGGGCCCAGGAGAGCTGCACCTGCTCTGAGCGTAGAGACCCTCCTTCCCGCCGCCGCCCCGAAACGTGGGTTCCGCCCGGCTCGCCCGGCACGTCCCCCACGGCAGGTGTGGGGGCCTCCGGGTGATTTCCAGGAGGCAGGAGGGCGTGTGCTGGGTCGGAGGCAAAGCTACGCCGCGTTACACGAGGGGTCGGGGCACTCAAGGGTCCCGGGCCCCAAGTGGCCCCACGGCCGGTCTCCGTGGGCACTGAGGGCGGCTGAGCAGCACCGTGCCTTTTCTCCAGAGGCGGCGCGGACTGTGGCTGCCATCGCTGGTGTTAAGATACAGCTTTTCATTTTAGTTTTATTAAATGAAAATATGTTAGGGTTTGGTCTTGTGAGGTGTTGAAAACTCACTTTCTCTTCTCTCTGAAGCTTTAAATAAGTGTGGAAGGAGCCCCGGCTGCTGTGGCTCCGTGGACGAGCGCCGGCCTGCGAACTGAAAGGTCGTCGGCTCAACTCCAGTCAGGGCACAGGCCTGGGTTGCGGGCCTGGGACCCCGTTGGGGGCGGGCAAGAGACAACCAATTGATGTTTCTCTCCCAGTCTACAGCCATACCATCCTGAACGTGCCAATCTCGTCTGATGTTTCTCTCCTCTTTCTCCCTCCCTTCCTCTCTCTCTAAAAAATAAACAAAATCTTTAAAAATAGATTCTTTTAAAAAAGTGTGGAGGGAGAGTCAAAATGTAAAGCACGGGGCTGAGGCCCGGGCTGGGCAGCTCCGCTGGTTCGAGCATCGTCCCAACAGGCCAAGGTTGTGGGCTGACCCCCCGGTCAGGGCACATACAAGAATCAACCAATGAATCCATCAGTGTTTTCCCCTCTCTCTTCCTTCCTCTCTTTAAAAATCAACAAATAATTTTTTAAAAAAATTAATGTGCTAAGAAACTAGCTTTTCTGGGGGAAAAAGAGCTCCCACTTTGGAGCCCGCACTGCTTTCTCTAGCCCTGGCTCATTTGGCTCAATTTAAAACGGTTCTAAAAATGTATCACCTGGCTCTCAGCCCCGGACACCGTGAGAAAGAGAAAGAGGTGAGCGGTGTGAGATTCCTTTCGTGCCTCATCTCTTGACAAGAAAACTCGGCTGTGAAGCCACTACCTCGAAAGTGTGAATTTCAGAACACATCCGTTTCATTATAAAAATCAACTGGAAAGCACTGTTATAATCTTTATTCTCTTCCTGATTATAAAAGTTAACATGTGCTCACAGTACATTATGGAAAACTGGGAACTGAAAACTTCTTCCGAATCCCCTCTCAGAGACATGCTTCTCTCCGTGGTAAATATTCCAACAGACTCGAGAGGCACAGGGCGGTACATGAAGGAACGAGGGGAACGGTCTCATTGTCAGAGTACACGACACTCTGCTCCTGTGCAAGGTTTCAAACAATTCTGACAAATGACTCGACCGACCAGTCTCTTCAGGGCCCATCTGCTGACCGAGAAGACTCCAACACAGCGGGCGGGAGAGCTGCTAAGAAGTTCTCACCATCCTGTGTTAAATGTCACTCAGTGTATTAAAGGTAAAGCTTTAAAGGAGTACGTACAAAACGAAGAATAATGAATTGGATACAAAGGAGAAAACAGTTCGGAAATCAGGGCAGTTCCGTATCAGAATAAAAACTCCTAAATTCTATTCCCAGTATCACAAAATGGGTTTAAAATTCAAATTTAGAAAACAGTGATCTTTTTACCGTCAAATACAGACATAAAAGTAACTCTATGATTATTCTCATTTGATCAATACAAAAGACAACAATGTACACAGTTGATCAGAATTACCTCAGTTCTAAGTGAAGTAAATTACAACAAGAACTGCTACATAAAAATATCACCCGTCGGCAGAAAGTCTGGAACAGGAGACTCGGAGATCTCAGCCTTTGGAACTGGTAAAGGCCAATTTTGTTTCAACGTCCCACAGTTTCGTCTGTAACACTTTCAAAACATCTTCCATCTATTGCATCGGGAAAATATTAAAAACACACATGATCATGATTAAAATCACACATGGTTAAGTGATTAAAACAGACATCATCAGTGCAACGTCTGACTCTTACACACTACAAACCGATACTCGGTGTGCATTTAATGAGGCTGTTCAAACTGCACCTCACTGAAACGAGACACGAGCCTACGACCAGCGGCTCCCGGCCTCGCACCGACGGCTCGTGCAGCCACTCGCCCCTGCCCCGCCGTGAGGAGACGCTGGCTTCCGAAAGGCGGGCGCCTGCACCGCGGCGGCCGGACCAAATGAGATGCTGGGGTGACGCGAAGACATCTTCCTACTAACGCGTGTTCCTATTACTGTATTTCTACTGGTGCAATAGTTTTAGAACATATACTGCTTTGATTTTGGCATGAAATGCCTTTTTTTTTGCTAGAGCTTTCACCCAACCCACCAACTGTACGAACACCTGAACGAAAGCCCGGGGCGACGCAGGCGAGGGGTGCCCGGCACACAAGGGACGCAGCCAGTCACCTGCTTGAGCGAGTTTTCTATCACAATCCGGCTTTCCAGGTTGAAAACCTCTTTCTCTTCGGGCACAAGCTGCTTCTCCGAGGACCCTAAAACATAACTGCACAGCACAGAGTTAACCTATAAAAAGCGAGCAAATATTAAATGTGTTCGTTAATAATACTGAAATTCCAAGCCCATTACTCTATGTGTCAGAACTAAGAGAAAACATAAAACACTACTTTTGTCACTAGCAACCTGCGCAGAGGCCGGCACCCTGGAAAGCCAGGCTCTCCTCCCAACAGCCCCAGCCAGAGCCCCCCGCCCACGGCCCGCTGGCCCACGCCTTCCATTATGGGAGGGGGGGGTTAGCTGGGTGGCAAAACAGTAACACTCCCAGCGCAAAATTCTATTTTGAAGTTTCTTTATACAACATTCGGGGAACATGTGCTTTCAAGCTTGACTTTTGGTAAATAATAATCTGCGGAGTCAGCCCCCGATGACCCAAACTCAGCAGCTTCAGCAGCCCCCGCCCAAGTCCCAGCCTGCTGGGCTGTCTGGCGTCAGGAGGCGCTGTGGGTCAGGCAGGGCCCGGCGCGGACAGGCGGCCTGGCCGGGGCGGACAGCGGCAGCCCCGGCAGCCCCGGCAGCCCGCTGAACCCTGAACAGCGAGGGGGGCGGGGGCGGGGGTGCCCGCTGCGCTGAGTTAGCTGCTGTCTGTTATCACTTGTAGCAACTCCACCGTGTCACTACTTTCGTGAAATAAGAACAGCTTTGTCTTGAATACCCTGATTATATATCTAAATATGGCACAGAAAAGAAAGATAAGATGAGGTGGAAAAATGACATGGCACCCAGTAACTTATAAAACAGTAAAGAGCCGTTACAGAGGGTGCCCAGTTCTGAAACAAACCACCTTCCTGGGCATTAAAATTCCGCCTCAAGAGGTAACTTCACTGCAACTTCAACTGCTCAGGAAAAGAGAGCTTCAACACTGCGACCCCCGAAGGCAAAATCTTCCCTGTCTCCTGGACAGGGAGGCACCGCTTCGTGGTCTGGGCTTCGCGGGTCCGCACCAGACCGGCTGGGCTGAGACTCCTCCTCCTTCCCAGCCCCCCTCCCCCCTCGGTCCTCACGCACCCTCGCCTGACTCGGGACTCGTAGGGAGGCCCTGCACCCTCTGCGGACAGACCTGCGGCTCTGCACCCAGGTGCAGCCAGGCCTGCCCTTCTGTGTAAGAGCCGCACACCATTTGCGGGTCAGAAAATTCTGATCTGAACCTTTCCAGCTTCACAGGCGCTGGCGAAACTGCAGTCATCAAAGAATAACTAGAGATTATAATAAAAATAGGGTTTAACATTTTTTTAACAGAAGATGTAAGAAATTCAACAGGAGGAACAAACCACCTGGAGAAATCACGGTACGGGCTCCCCTGTCCTGCAACGTCCCATCTCTCCCGCGTCTTCCAAGTGTTAGCGGCCATACCCTTGCCGGGGTGCATGGAAACACAGCCAGGTCAATTAACTCACTTAATTCTGTGTTTCCTTAAGAAAGGCCAATGAACTGCAAAGCCGGTGGGATGTCTGAACTGCCAGCAGGCCCTCGTGAGCCTTGCTTCTGACACCGGCCTAAGAGCCGGGAGTGGGGCGCGTCCCACCCGCGCAAGGGAGCGGAGGCGGCTCCTGGCTGGGCTCGGGGACAGAACTAGCTGGGCTCTGTCTGCTTTTCCAGAACACCAAAGGCGCTTCTTACTAACCAGTTTTGAAATTCCTATTTCTTCAGAATATTCTAGGAGGCTAAAAAATGAGGACAAATAAAACTGAATACATCGATCCATACAATGCTTTTTAAAAATCTTATTAGATTTTTAAAAACTACTGGACATATTTTTACTCTGAAAAATGTTCTCACAATGTTGTCTCCTTATAATTTTGAATCTCTGACTTTTCTAATACCAAAAAGATCAGGTCAAAACAAAACAAAAAATCACTGGCTGTATTCTCAGAAATTATTACTTGAATATGTGTATTAACCCAAGTTCTGATCTAGTTCTGGTGTTTTCTACCAACTCGCCGCCGCCGGGTTTCTGGGCAGGCGGCGTCCGAGGCGCCCGCGCAACCGATTACCTCTCCACGGCCTCGACGTCCAGGCAGAAGGAGTCCCTCCGGTGGTCGAGGTGGCTCGGGGTGCACCTGTAGACGTAGCCGAGGTGCTGCGCGCAGCCGGCGCAGCGCAGCCTCTCCAGGACGCTGCGGGGAGAGACGCCGCAGCTCAGCAAGCGGGGCCGCGGCTCGACCCGGCGCAGGCCGCGGAGAGCCGGGGACCGCGGGCGCGCGTCCCTCCGACCCCGCTCGGCCGGCCGTGTGCGCAGGAGGGGCAAGGGCAGCCGTGAGAGGGTTTCCGAGGGACGCAGGCGGTCACCGCCCCCTACCCCCGCCCCCCCCGCCCCCCGCGCCGCTCTCAGCGCCTGGCGAGCACCAAGGGGCGGCGCGGGAGTGACCACGGAGGACGCTCAGGGGCTGTTTGGGGGAATATACCTCACGCTGGTGTTGAAAACGATTATCTAAAATTCGGAAATAAGACGGAAAGATAAAAATGCCCCCCCCCCCCCCCGTGCCCTTTTAATATCACCTTGTCCCACAGGCCCGCCAAGGCCAGCAGCGCTCGGGCGGGGCGGGGCCCACCCACTGGAGGCCGGCAGCCCCCACGCTCACACCGCCGGGCCGGCCTGGGGGCCGCGGGGGCGTCGGGGAGGGGCCGCGCCCGTTTGCTTCCTGCTGGTTAGAGCTGGTCTGAGCTTAGGGGTGACTCCTGGGGGGAGGACCGAAGAGCGGCAGGTAACTTCGGTCTGGCACAGAAGCCGACGCTTCCCACTGGCAGGAAAGGTGGCCCCAGGGCTCCGGCCCCCCTGTCCCATGGGCACCGGTGACCTCTGGGCGACAGAGCGCGCCCGCCCCTCCGCCAGCGCGCCCGGCTCTGGCTCCCTCACCCAGAGCTGCACGAACCCTTGACAAGTGCTCCTCATGCATTTTACTGCCTTTTCAGAAAAGCACTTTGAGCCCTGGACGGCGTGGCTCAGCGGAATGGTTGCCAGCCTGGGAACCAAGGGGTCGCGGGTTCAATTCCCAGTCAGGGCACAGGCCTGGGTGGCGGGCCAGGTCCCCAGTAGGGGGCGCGGGAGAGGCAACCACACATGGATGTTTCTCTCCCTCTCTTTCTCCCTCCCTTCCCCTTTCTCTAAGAATGACTACATAAAATCTTTCTAAAAATTTTACATTTTGACACTAACACTCTTCTATCAACCAGAGCTATGTTCCACATAGGTAATTCGCAAATATTTCACTTAATGATTCATCCACAAAACAGTCCCTTTCTTCCCGTTACTTTCCAATTCAGGCTCTTGCCACATAAATAAATATGTGCCCTCCCCGCCCCCCAAATGCCAACTCCCACCTCCTTTCAAACCCCAACCCCACTGCCTCCTACGCGCCTTGTCAAACTGACCCATCCAAATTCACCGGCCCACACCCGGCTACACAAAAGCACGCAGTCCCAGGGCACAGCAGGGGGAGAGCTGCGCACTCAAACCGGGTAGTGATCGCCAGAGTAAACACACAGCACAAAGGAGGCCACCGCTCGGACAGCGCTGCCAGTCCACACCGGCAGGCGAGCCCCGGAAACGAGCACACGGCCGTCCCCGCGACCCGGCCGAGCGCAGGCGCCGAGGCCCAGGCGGGACTGTGCCCCGCCCCCCCGCGAGGCCGAGGCAGCTGCCGTCGCTGCAGGGCCCGGCAAAGCGCAGAGAGGACACAGCATAGTGTCTCAGCAGGGACACAGGAGCCAGGTGACATGCCGCCGCCCACACAGTAAGCCCCTGGGGCCGGTAGGAGCTTCTGTGCAGCTTTGCATGAAAGGGACAGGCACTCCCGCGAACCCCGGGAGGGAGACCGCCCACAGGGAGCAGCGGTCTCCACGCTGCGCGGCCTCTCGGTCACTGCCAGGCCGCCCTCCGCACCCTCCGAGGTCGGGAACCAACGTCGCGTTGGGAAGGACCCTGAGAGGGGCCTACGGCACTGCTTACGCTGATGAGCGGAGAAGACCGCTTTATCCTGAATTATCAACACCAAACCACGCGCCATGGGCGGCGCACACAGGCCCACTCCCCCGCCGAGGGGCGATGAGGAGCCGGCAGCCACCCTCGCCGCAGCGTCTCCCCGCGCGCACGGCGGGCTGGGGTCTGCCCGAGCGCAGCGCCGGTCCCCAGGCGGCCTGAGACGCGGAATGAGTCCCCCGTGGAAACGAGCTGGCAGCGCAGCGCGGCGCCTGCACGAGCGAGGGAGGGGCGCGCGACCCGTGCAGCTCCCGAGGCGGCGACGCCTTGCGCGAATGACGGGCCCAGCGGGCGTAGCACGCGGGACCCAACACTGGCTCAACGCGGGGCGCCAACCCCCTCGGTCCTCCCAACTCCTGACCCAGAAGGAAGCAAGTCTGAGCCTGGCGCCGGCAAGTCGCCAACATGGATCTGAGCTACGAACCCCCAGCGGGCAGCGCCCAGGCCGCAGGCTGAGGCCGGCCAGGCAACCGCCTCTCAGCTGGGGTTCAGCAACGTTCGTTTCCTTTGTGGTTACTCTCCAGGAAGAGCAAACACGGAAATTCTGAGTCAATAAATGAAAAGTATCAAGGGCCTGAGCGGGAGGGGGGACGGGGAGGGAGCAGGCGGGGGGGGGGGGGGCGGGCGGGGGGGCGGCGCAGGGGCGGGGCGGGGGCAGGGCCGCCCTGGTTCTCGCCGGAAGCCGCGCTGCGGCCTGAGCCGAGCTCTAACCTCCCCGGGCCCTGCTGTCTTCCTGTTCAAAACGAGAAGGAACCCAAGCCTGGGTTTTCCAAATTCCGGTCACCGGAGAGCCAGGAGCACAATTTTTGTTACACCCACATAGCACCAGTTTTAGGAATTTCATTCTCCTTAAATAGAGTAACTTTAATGGAAATAGACTTTATGTGAATATAACAGTCTGGCATTACTAAAACTGAAAAACCAGTATTTTAAGACACGCTCCGCGCAACAGTTCCCTACGGCAGAGCTGCCCACCCCGTGCGCCGAGGACGGCGCTTACAGCAGGTGGGTGGCGGGTGCCCCATGCCGACCCCTTCAGCCGGTACAGTGGCCCCGAGCTGCCACTTCTGGCCACAGGGCCTCCTCCAGGGACCGCAACACCCGTGTGTGTGTGTCCATGTTCTTCTGCGGGCGCCACGACAGGAGGAGGGCACCGCCAGCCTAAGGCGCTTTGGCTCTGAGAGTGCAAGACACAGGTATTTTCTTTTCCTATTTCCCGTTTTCTTCAGCGCCACGCCCAGCGACCCAGAGAGGGAGTATCACAATGTGCCTCAGAAACTCCTCCAGCTCAACCTGGCTGGCGTGGCTCAGCGCACTGGGCGCCAGCCAGCGAACCCAAGGGTCGCTGGTTTGATTCCCCGTCAGGGCGCAGGCCTGGGCGGCGGGCCACGTCCCTGGTTGGGGGCATGTAAGATGCAACTGATAGGTGTTTCTCTCCCTCTCCTCCCTCCCTCCCCCTCTCTTTAAGATAAATAAAATCTTTTTTAAAAAATAGACTCTAAAAGAGAATTTAAGAAATACAAAAACTTTTCCACCTCAGTATCTATAGGAGACCACCCGTCACCCAAGAATTGATAAATTAACAATGACCAACTTTATACTGATTACCATAGAAGTAGTTTTAGCCCAGGTAATATTACCGGTAATAATTTTTAAAGAGTTTTTTGAACAGCGAACATTTTCCCTAACGGACACACTCACAGACACAGCGTTACTCACCAACCATTTTCATTTTCACGCTTGGATAGCATCTGCCCCTCATCCACAGAAACGTTACTGGAAACACCTAGAAAAAACAACAGTGATTTATTAATGTGGTAAGCATGCACATGCAGACATTTAGAGAACTTGTAGTTCAACTTTTATTTTAGAATTCAGAGGGCCCGAAAAAATAAGAGCCCAAAGTGTGTGTGTGCGCGTGTGTGTGTGTGAGAGACACAGAGGCACATGCATGATGGTTGAAAACCAAATGTACAGGGGTTTCCTGGAAAAGGATGGCAGAATAAGGGTTATTTCTTTCCCTCCCCAGAAAACCATGGAAATTAACAAAATGAGTGAAGTTAGAGGGAAAAATTCCATCAACAGTAAAACATGGAACAGTTAGAACCCCAGTTCAGCAACTCCTGAGAGAGCATGCCAGACACAGTAGAACTGCGACCAAAACCAAGACGCTACACGCCAAAGCCCGCATCCCCAGGTGTCAAAGGCGGAGCTGACCTCTCTAAAAGTGCCTGAGGACCCCCAAGGAGCTAGCCGAAATCTTGGAGACCGTGACTTGGACAGGGGTCGCAGCTGGACCCCTGAAGAGACATTGCTAGAGGGTTAGGTCCAGGGCCCGGGGGCAGGAGGTCGGTGGGGGGGGGGGGGGGTTGGGGGGCAGGGCAAACAACAGGACACTGACCTAAAATGGCCCAAACAGACTCTCGGCTCCACCTCCCCCTACAGTCCAAGTTCCACCTTCATCCATCCAGTCCCTCAAATCAGAAACCAGGGTGTCGCCTGCTCCCCGCCACCCACTACACTGACAGTGCTGGCTATCCCACCGCTGGGCTCTCCCTGCCGCCCCGCCCCCCACCCCCCGGCCACCTCCTGCCCAGCCTGCTGCACGGGCTCCTGCCTGACCCCACACGTCTGGGCCATCTTCCTTCCCCGCTTCCTCCAAAGACAGACCTAGGTCACGCCCCACTCCTGCCTACACACCTCCCTCGCTCTTCATAGGTTCTGATTCCGCACAACATCCCACAAAGCCCTGGATGTTGGGGCCCCTTCCTTCCTCAGCAAGTCTCATCTTTACACTAGTCACCAGCCACACCAGCCTCGAGGCCTGGGTTCCAGCTGCTCCTGGGCCTGCCAAAAGCACCGAGCGTGACCCCGGAACTGGACACGCAGCCAAGCTGCCATCAAGTGCAAAGACCTTTCCAAGCACTGACACTTAAAGTTTTCTTGAGGATGGGGGACAACTGATGACGATTAATCAAATAAACAACTCAAGAATGAGAAAGCTATTAACAAGGCCTCTTATGTTAATAAGAGTTCTAGACTTGAGAAAGAAGTTCATGTAAAAATTACATTAAAGCTAAATGATTGTGCTATGGCTGCAAAATAGTATGTAAATATTATCACTCGACAAAGTAAAACTAATCCAACTAACTCAACTAGGGTAGGAGGGAATGCAAATTAATCAAATTTCCTTTTTTATCTTTCATGGGGGGAGGGGTTTAAGTCAATTTGTTAAACCCCCACTTTACAGAGGGGAAAACAGAGGCCGAGGGGCAGGCAGGCTCGGCCCCAGGCAAGGGAGGGGACCGCGGGGCGCGAGCCCGCCGCCAGGGAGGGCGCGCTTCTGCTCCGATCGCGAAGTCTGTCTGTACACGCTAATCGAAATATTCAGAACATACGTGTGGAATAAAAAAAAGGATGCTTAACGTGTAAGTAATATAGTCTCAAGTGTTTTTAAAAGTTGACATGTTTACATGTGCTGGCTCAGCGATTACTGTTACTGAACTGACTGATGCATCCTTATGGGAAACGACAGGTGTCAGAACGTTTCAAGTGCCGGTCAGCACTGGCGTCCTTTTCTCCCCAATATTCCACCCCAGGGAGGAACTCAGTCCATGAACGTCAATGACCTGTTGCCACATTTCTGCCATCGAAATATTTTTAGAAGGGGACAGAGCATACGCTTCAACTTGAAACCCGCAAGCCCAAAAAGAATAGCCATTTTTACACCAATTCAGAAAAAACATACGCCAACCACTCCCCTAAATATGAAAATTATGAGAGCGACAAGAGGAGGAGGGGACGTGGGAAACACGAGGTCACTAGCGGCGTCAGGATTAAAATCTATTAAAAGCTAGAACTCCGGTCTTCTCCGCTCTTGTCCTGGACCCTCCTACCTCTCCAGTTTTCATGGGATTATTGACTTCATTACAAGTTCTTTTTATAAATTGTTGGTAACACTGTGTTCTGTCAGCTCTATGGCAGTAAGCCCGGGGACCGTAAAGGCGTCTGCTGATACAAGTGCCAAGAGACAAGAAATCAATCCGGACGTCGCCCCGCAGGAGGCAGGGAGCAAATAAACCACGTGCGACATTATTTACCAAGTCACAGCCCGCAGACGCCAGCGCTACAGCGCGGCTACACCCCACACACTAATGATTGAGTCGGTCTGCTTCTACTGACTGATGCTCACAACAATGCTGGTTCACCGCTACTGAGGAACGACTGCGGGACCCCATACAAGGGCCTGTCACTCGCGAGTCCCCTCTCTCCGGGGCCGCTCTCCCTCTTAGGTTTTCTGCTCTTAGAGCGACCCCCTCTGCCCCCGGCCGCCGAGGTGTGGCGCATCTCCGGAGGGCGGCCCGCGCCCAGCCCGGGTACTGACAGCGCAGCAGGATGCAGTTGTTGTCCTCCTGGCAGGCCACCCAGCTCAGCGAGTCGCCCAGCGGCCGCCGGCAGCCGCCGCACAGGAACACGAGCGGCCGGTCCTCGTCCTCGGCGGGCGCCGCAGCCCCCTCGCGCCGCGTCCGCTCCGCCGCCGGCGCGGCCCCGCTCAGGGAGTGCCACGTGCTCGTCCACCGCTGCAGCAATTGGTGGCGGCTCGAGCCTTCCGAGAGTCGCTGGCTCAACAGCGAGGGGACGCTCCACGTGCCCTTCTCGCCGCAAGCGCAGCTGGCGGAAGAGCATCCCTTGCAACTCTCCTGCGACCAAATACCCGCCATTTCTACGAATCCGGCGGCCGCGGAGCACCACGGGAACGAAACACCGCCTCTGCGCATGCGCGGGGAGGGCCGAGACGGTGGCGCCCGGCAGGGGCCGCGGCGCTTAGGGGCGGGGCCCGACGGAAGCGGGACCGCGAGCAGCCGGCTAGTGCGCGTGCTCGCTGCCGGGCGGTGCCAGGCCCCGGAGTCACTGCGCGTGCGTGAGGGCTTCCGCCCTGCTGAATGGAGGCGGCGGGAGGTGGGACGGCCGCACCTCCCCGCGAGCGGCGGTGTCTTTCGGAGAGTTACGCGCCCAAACCCCTCAGCCAGGCCGTCACGGGGGTTCCCAAGCCAGCGCGCCGCCCACGCAGCACCCAGCAGGGAGCCCTTTGGCGCACCTGCCTTCCGTGCCTGGTCCCTCCGCGAGGCGTCCCAGTCACATGAGCTGGCCGCAGCCCAGGCCGCGAGGCCCACAGCCCCGGGGGTGGTTGAGCGGGCCGGTGGCCCGGACTCGGCCTTGCTCGCCCACCCCAGGCGACGCCAGCAGGGACTCCGTGTCCCGGGCTGTTTGCGTAACGTCCGCGGGGGGCCGAGAGCCGGGTGCTCGGGAGCCGCCCGGCCCACCTCCTCCTCGGGGTACTGGTCCCGGACAGGCCCGGAGCCCTCGGGCGGGCCTGCCGGGGAGCAGCTGGAGCCGCACGCGCGTGCGGCGGCCGGGAGACGGCGGGGGGAGGAACGGCCTCCACTGTCCCGCCCCGGGCGCCGCTCTTTCCGGGCGAGCTGCTCTTCCCGGGTGCCGCCGGGACGAGGACACACCTCCTGGGCTGCCCCCAAAAGCCCGCCTCTGGCTTGAAAGCGCCTCCGAGCCGGCGGGGAAGGCTGGTGGGGACTGGCCAGCGGCATCGCAGACCAGGCCACCTCCCTGGAGAGAAAGGCACCCCAAGGCCCAGGGTCTGCTCCCGCGACCCTCGGGGCGTGGCCCACGGCCCTGCCCACTCCGTTTGGTCAGATACACTGTTAACTTTACGTCCAGTGTCGGTGCCGGTGGCCTCTGGCCAGAAGCAAAAGCTTTGAGGTCAGCAGCCTCGGGTCGAGCTGCCCTGCCTTCGCCGGCACCGCCCTCGCCGGCCGCGAGACGGCTGCGTCGTGGGTTAAGTGCGACACGCTGCGCCGCGGTGCTCCGAGGGTTAGGTGATACAATGGGCGCGAAATGCTTGATCTCTGGGGTACTGTGCCCGAGGCCGGCAGCAGGCTCCGCATGGTTTCAGTTCCCGTTTCGCCCGCAGCCTTGCCCTCCCTGCGGCTGCTGCGTTAGCGGAGGCAGCCCGGCCGGCGTCCCCGTCCCTGGTTCATGGGCCATGAATCCCCCAGACGTCCCTAAGCAGGTGGGGGGTAATGTTGGAATTCAAGGGATGACCTCTTTGCCTCGGACTTGGGGTTCCCACGAGCCGCACTTAAGTTCCGCGGTGGGATATCCCAGGAAAGGAAAAACAGCGCGCGCGGGCCGGATCACTGTCTCACCTATGCCCTCGGCCTCGGTGGGCCCACTCCATAGAGACTAGGAATAACACAAGTTATGTGTTACAACTGTATCGTTATAAAGACTAACATAAATATGATATACTAAAACATTCTCTGACTTAAAAGTTTGTTTCCTTCTGACCGGGAAATAAAACATTTTTGTGGGGTCCTAAACATTCATCATGGGATGCAGAAAAAATCAGCCGCAATGCAACATGAATTTCTCTATAGTCTCAAGTATTATGAATACAAAATATTCCGATGCCCACACAGTCCTATTTCACGTGGGGACAAAATGAGGCGCTTGAGTAAGATGACCTTGGGCTGGGTGGTTGTAGCGGCCCCCTGGACAGCCATTCGGAGAAGGGTGAGCCTCACCCGTACCACCTCCGCCTCCACCGATTCGCCGGTCGGGTCCCCGCAGGTTCAACCCCATCAGGACAGCCCACCTCTCCCACGGTCTCTGACGTAGGGACGGCCTTCGCCCCAGCCTTACGCCCATCGGCCCCTGGTGCTCCTTGCCCTGGCTGCAGGGATTGGCTCCCATGACAACTTCATCTCCGTTGTCACAGGCTGTCCAGTCAGAGTGAATCTCAAGACTCTGGTCCAGCGGCTCTTTGCTCCCTGGCCGGGGACAAGGAGGCACACGCCCGGGCGGCTCCAGGGAGAGTCGGGGCAGAGAAACGGAGCGGCCGCCCCCCGGACTCTCCCAGCAGCGGGAGCCAGCAAACCCTCCCGCCCCCGCAGCCAGCCTGAGCCGCCTTCCCCAGCCACGAGGAGCGTCCGCTCGCGGTCTGCTCCGGGGTGTTACCGCGGAGATTTCGACCGAGGCCCCAAGACGAGGCCAGAGTGGCACACCAGTGTGCGTGAGGCAGAATGGGCGTCGGGGAACACTCCCCATGGCACGAGACCGACCACCGCACGTGTGGGGGACTAAAGACCAGAGAAAATGGGGACCAGGGTGACGTGACCGCAGGCTCTGCAGGCCGGTGGGGTCGCAGGCGTCTGAGGACACCGTGGCAGCAGGACAGGCGGGCTGTGGAGCGGTTTCGGTGACACCACAAGGGGGAGGCAGGCAGATCGTCAACCGAACATGAACTTTTCTGGTGGACAGGTCACCGCGAACCTTGAGGTCGGCCCCAGAAGCGAGCCTGGAAGGTGAGGATGCTCCGGAGCCGGAGCCGACGTCGGCGCGTGTGGCGGGCCCTGCAGACCCAGACGGCGGCCGGCCCAGGGGGAGGCTGCCAGGTGCCCGGGGTGCAGCTGGGCTGGGCCGGGGCCGGGGCGGGGGCGAGTGCTGGGAGCTCGTGCGGGGCCGGGAGAGAGAGCTGGTTCTGACCACGGCGGCCGCAGGGTGCCAACCCCGTGAGCGATAGACCCAATTCAAAGGAAAACTGCCCTGAGCCCTTTGCCCCCATCCAAGCCTGGGAATGCAAATAGCAGGAAGCAGAGCCCGCCCGCCCCCATCCACGGCCGGGGGGTGGGGGGGGCGGGGGGAGGGGCGGGGAGAGGCCCAAGAAGGCAGGGGGAGGGGAGAAGAAGCGAAGGAGGCGTTTACGGTTCCTCCGGTGCTAGAGGACTCACGGCTCGTTAAAGGCGCTCTGGCACTTGGAGAACAGGGGAAATTTGTGGCTCTGGTTACATGGACTCGTTTCAGTTGTGTGCACTTCCTCACACCTACCCACACGAATGACAACGCGGTGTGATTGCAGGTCGCTGGGAGTCAGTCCTCCGACCCTTCAGTGCTGAGAGAGCTGCTCGCAGCTGCGCGTGAGGACCGTTTTGTCCAACTCTTGCTCGTTGAGTTGCTTCTGGAAGCAAAGAGGCACCCGGAGCTGTCCCCCCGCCCCCCACCAGCTGGCACCGAGAGCTTGCCGCCGGGACACGGAGCCCCCGGGGGCCTTCCGCCACGAGCAGAGCGCTCCGCGGGGACAGCCACCACGCTGTGGCGACGGCGTGGCTGGATGTTTATATCTGGGTTCCAGGGGTGCAACGGTAGCCTCAGGAACACGCTTCACCATTTTAAAATCCTCCGTGGCAGGATGTTCTTTAAATAGCCTGTTCCCCTCTCCTAGTAAACGTGTGGAATCACGGCTTCCTGGCCTTTAGCAGAGGTATTTAGTTCTCCCACGAGTTAAAAAAGAACGAAGAACATGTGATTTTCAGAAATACCACAATACATTTGAGCTGAGAAAGAGTCACAGAGATGCTTGGCCACACGCCTCACTCTGCAGCAGAAAAGCTGGGGCCCGGGCGGTTCCGACGTCACCGGGCGCGTGAGCGACAGGGTTGGGGGGGCGTCTGGGCTGGCCCATGTCCAGCGCCCTTCCCCGCTGGGGAAAAGGCCCTCCCTGCTCTCCCCACCCAGCAGTGCGCTGTTGGGGGGCTTCCCACCTCGAAGGCCTTAACCCGCCGCCGCGCCTTCCGAGACGGGGGCTCCGCCCTGGCTGGGGTCAGCCTCAGCGCCGCCCCCCCCCCCCCCCCCCCCCCCCCAGCTTCCTGGCTGCCTCCCCAGGCTCTAGGAGCAGGCGCCAGGACCAGGGCCGGGCCAAGTCCGTCCCCCGCAGCCTTTTATGCCAGCGCTGGGCGGGAGGGTCCTCTGCTCACCCTTCCTCTCTGAGACCTGAGCCCAGAGCTGCCCTGGGCCACGTCCGCAGCCCGGGGGCGTGGCCACCGTGGGAGGGAAGCAAGGCAAGATGTGGAGACAGAGCAGGAGCAGCCCGCAGCCCCGCTGCTCCGCGCGGTTTCTGTGAGCGCCTCGCAGCGTGCGCCCCTAAACCTAGTCAGGGTCACTCCCTGCCGCTCCCGGCCGCTCCCTATCAAAGCCCGACTGGTACGCAGGGTTCGGTCCAGAGCCGGGGCCTCTGGGCCCTACGTGTGTGGGTGCCCGGCTGCTCCAGATTGTTGAAATGTGACTCCACGTGCGCGACAGGGCCTAGTAGTTCTCAAAATGCAGCCTCTCAAGGAGGCGCCCTCGGAGCTGATGAGGTCGCCCAGGGAAGAACGCGTCTCCAGGACAAAATTCTCGTCACGCTCTCTCTTTCCAAGCTCCCCTTTGGCACCCGCTTCGTGCCTTCCGTTTTCTTGGATGCAAGCAGAGGGAGGTCAATGAGGGAACAGCGGTTTTAGCACCTGCAACAAACACGTATAAATCTTTTAACTAAGAAGTTCTCTAAACTCAGCACAGACGGACCATGAAGTGAGGGCTGTGACTTCTGAATCTCAAGTCACACGGGCAAGGCCTGAAGTGCCACAGATACAGATTGCATGTCTTTGGGGAGATTTGAGGAAACACTGCTTCCATGGCAGAAAGACTGGGAAATGGAGTTCGAGCAAATGCCCAGAGACCTGGCTGGCAGCTCAGCTGGTTGGAGCTTCGTCCCCATCGGCCGGGGTTGCTGGTTCGACGCCCAGTCAGGGCACCTACAAGAATCAACCAATGAATTCACAAATAAGGAGAACGACAAATTGATGTCTCTCTCTAAAAATCCATCAATAAA